TTTTTTTTTTTTTTTTAATAATTCTTGTATTTATCTACATTACATAGCTGCTTTCTACATTATTAATAATAGGAAATGTTTTTGAGTACCAATTTAGCATGTTAACAAGATTTCTGCGGAATCTTGTGACACTGAAGACTGGAGTATTGGCTGCTTTAAACAGCCTTCCAGTCACCATCACAGGAATGAATTACATTTAAAATGTCCCAAAATTGCAAATAATTACTTTAAATTGTAATAATATTTCATTACTGTTTTTCTGTATTTTTATGAAATAAAAGCAGCCGTGTTGAGCATAAGACCTTTTTCCAAAACATTAAAAAAAATCTTACCGTCCCAAACTGTAGAACAATAGTGTAGTTATTGTGTAATTTTACATTTACATTTAGCAGACGCTTTAAGTAATGATACGAATATTTGACCATAACACCGTAAAGTGTGATTACGTTGGAAAGTGTGAATAAATCATCACCTGTGTCACGATGGAGACAGGCTCAGTTTTGTCCCTGGCTTGCTCCCTCGAGCGCTCAAGAGCCGTTATAAATATAAACTGCTGTTGTTTGAAAAGTTTATACTTCTGCTCAGTGGAAAGTAGCTGCTCTCTGACGTCAGCCATCTCAGTTTTAGTAGTTAACCTGTTTAAAATGGAACAGGCAGTGAAGAATTTTATTATAAAGAAGATCATATTGTAAAAAGAAATAGTATTCATGACATGTAATATTAGAACTTACCTCTATTAGTACGTGTTATAACGGCATATCAAATTTCCGCAGAGTCGCTACTGTTTCTGTGTAATTGATTTTGCGTTGCTCAGTAACAAGAGTATGATACTTGTGCTCTCTCTGGTGGTGGTGATGGTGATTGGCTGACCAAGTTACCATTGGCAACAAACAGTAACAACAAACGCATGTGCACAGCAAACTAGCAACAGCAACGTTTCAAGCCAAGGTAACATTAAATATAATATAATATAATATTTCTTAATTTTAACTCTCCTTTTTAATCAAGTAACTACGTGGTTCCCGTTACATTCATCAAATTTCCCCTATGTACGTTAATTTCCGTCATTTGTTCTGTTTGAAAGGAAAATCCGAAAACGTCGTTTGTTTAACGTTAACGTTACTCGTATTTTGTAAAACACGTCTCATCCTTGCCTCAGAAACCTCCTCCTTCTGTTTACATAAGTTCAAGAGTCTTTTCCCGCTTTCTAATCAAAGACTATTTTATGTGTTTTATTAGTTTGAAGCTCTCCCTTTGTGAACTAATTCACATTTTTACAGTTATTTACAGATTTCCAAGTCTTTGGTGAGCTCTCTGTGTCGTGTGGTGTTCTTCAGTGATGGATGCGACGATACGGCTCCTCAGAATCCCACCTGAAATGGCCATTTATGCAGAGAAACATGACATATTTCACCTGGTCCAGGTATAGACATTTAACTAGACAATGTTTAACAAGTTTATGAAGGCAGTTTTAATCAAATAAATTATACATTTGCAGACACTAGTGAGAAAGTTGATGGTGGACAAACCAGAGGACCCCATTCAACACCTGATTAACTTCTTGAAAAGGGACAGTGTTGGTAAGGGTTTTTTCTGTATTTGCACTATTGATAAATCCTTACTATTTTTGTTTAATTATTATTTAAATTAGGTAGTATTAAAGTTATACATTCTTATAATAATACATTCTTTAACACAAGATGGCGCAGTCGTACATAATATCAAATAAAAATCGTAACGTAAAGTTAAAGGAGCTGTACATTTCCAACTCATTTATTAACATTGTTCAGATAAAACCCAGTTTAACATCATTGTAGAATGATGCTAACTGCCAGCTTTTTGATATCAACTAGAAATACATTATTAGATTTAACTAACTATAATGTTGCCTTGCATCAGTAATGTATTGGGGACAGTTCATTCATTTTAACAAATATATTTGTTCCAGTGCCAAGAATTATATTGTTAGGTCCTCCATCGTCCGGGAAGAGAACCATAGTAAGTGCCTCTTTTCAGTAGTAGTTCAATTAATTTCTGCAATTTAAACTTTGTTACAGTTGAACTGTTCTAGTGTGTACTTTACTTGTGTATGTCTTTTTTTTCCTGTAAATAACTCTGCATACATTATATTTGTTTCTTTTGTGTTTTGTGTTTCAGTTTTGAAATGTATTTATAAATACACCTGTCATGACAATGCGACTTACATTTCAATCTGATGTGATCCCAATACTGCTTCAGTCATCTGTACAGCATTATCTGTTCAGAGTATTTTCATTTCTGTCATTTTATATGGTGCTGCAGATTGTCCTCTTTTGTCTTGTTGCAGGCTAACAAGTTGTGTGAGCACACACAGGCTATTCACGTAACTTTTAGCGATATCTTAAAGGATGACAGTGACTTAAGCAGAGCTGCACAGCAGGACCAAGACAAAAAGCAGGTGGGGTCTCTCTTTCTCAGGCTTTGTCCTTTCTCTTGAAAACACATATACTTCTAAAAGGTTTACCATAGACTGTTATGAATACAATTGCCTTTTTAGGAGGCCTAGAAGAGGGGATCTGTTTGTAAGCTTGTGTGTACAACATGTTACTGCGTAATGGCAAAGTATCTTCAAGGAAAAGTAGTCTGGAATGGCTTGATCATGATATTCATTTTAGATGTATAAGTAGGAAAGGTAATGTTATCAGCATTTGCTATACTCTCTGGATGCCAGTAAATGTTGTCTCTGTGGTATTGTAAAGACATAGAACTGATTTTGTCTGAAGTCTGATCATGCAAATGCAATGCAGGCTAGTTAGTCGATAAATCAGCAGAGTTGAGTAGAATTAGAAGAAAAGAGAGAGATGTGCTTAGGAAAAGTGCCTCCCAATGGTTTAATTATTCTAATTATCCTCTCACTTAAACTCGCCATGGCCTTGAGTTTAAAATAGAACGATCCAAAAGATTCCAATTATTATAATTTTCACAAAATTCACAAAGGAGAGTAAGATGAAAGCAGCAGAGGATGTCATAAGTAATTAGAGATTCAACAGCATATTTGAATGTATTTGTTTAATAATTATTGTATTGTTTTGGTGGACACTGACAGACATTTACTATAGAACAGATATATCTCAGGTAGGTTTGTTAGAAGCACACGAATGACGGGTCAGTTGGTTTATATTTCTGTTTGACTCTTGACGATTGTTATTAATTATTCAATTTCAACATTTTTTTAACATTTACTCTCTGACTTTACTGATTTGTTGATGTTGGTCTAACATTATATTAATATTATATTAATATATAGGATCTGATTTAGACAAATTATTTTTAAAAAATTCTTAATAATTGAATTTGAATAAAACATTTACTCACATTTTTTTGTTGGTCTGATAGAAGATCCCTAAAGACCACTGGAGACAGTTGATTCAGCAACGCCTGTCAAAACTAGACTGTGTTCGACGGGTAAGGACTTGGTTTTTTTATTTTTTTATTTACTCATTTCTTTTGTAATTAATTTAGAAAAATTAACACTGAGCGTTTGACTCAAATTGTCTAAAATGTGGAAAAAAAAGAAAGTGAGAGAAACATATTTTCATCGTGAACTTGCACGTAACCTCCGCGTTTTGAACTGTGTTTATTTTTACAAGCGTGATGCCCAATTAATTTGTCATATTTTTTCTTTATTTACACTCAACCTTCTATGATAAATAATTAGACGTGTGTTTCTCCGCCTCCCTTGAGGACTGCTGGGATGGGTCTCGGGGAATGCAAGACTGCTGGTGAGAGTTCTCTGAGGAAAGCTTTCATCACCAGCGGGCCCCTCACCGGCTGCCAGTTACATGTGATCTCAGTACTAATGCCACTTAAGAGCCTCACCGCTGAGGTGTCCGTACACGTACACTCTCAGATCTCGCACCCTTTTGATTCCTCCTTTCATCTCTCCATCAAATCACACAATCAATCACGGTCTCCCTGATCGTGTCTTTCTCTGAAGTGTCAGTTTCTTCTGTGCGGCCGCACGGAGGAATATGTAAATCGTCTGACTCCAAACAGCATCTCCTTTTATTCCTCACTAAACTCCGCAAATGGCTTTACTCAGCCAAGAATCCCATCGCGAAAGTTTTTTCGCTTGGCATCCTTTAACTTTCACCTTTTAATCTCAGTAGTTTGTGATTAGTGACTGCTTTGAATCTAGTAATGGATGTTTATCCCTTCAGGCAAACTGTCTGATAGTATTTATCAGGTTATTTAATTATTTTTCTTCCCGACTGATCCGTATATGAGCGGAGGATTGAGGTAGAGTTTTTCCTCTGTAGATTTAGACACCTGACAAAGCATCTCTGGCTCACCATGAGGAGCCTTCATCTCATGATCTCTAGCTTCGCACACACTTAAATGGGCCAAAGAATGGAATGATTGACATGTCACATCACCACTGGAGCCTAGACAGCTAAGCTTAATTGCTCTGCCACGGATGCCTACGTGTGTGAGCTTGTCTACCTGTTTTTCCAAATTAAGCAACAATGAATGTTAATCATGCCTAATCTAGGTCATCTAGTTCATCTCTGCCTGTCACTGCTTCTCAAGCTGTCTTAATTCTTTCTCCCTCGCTCTCTCGTACTCTCATGAGGCTGCTGTTTGTAAAACTTTAGACTTGTGGAAAATGAAGAGAGGGAGCATAGGTAATGAATAGTGATTTAAAGTAAAATGTCAATTTAATGAGTGCCTTTCAGTCCTGGAAAAAAAGATGGACCCTAAAGTAAATTAGAAAAAAAGAAGGAAGGAAAGAAAGAAAGAAAGATCATGGGGCGCATGTCACAGTCATCTGGATCCCTAATGAGGCCTCCAAATAAAGTTATGCTGTTTGAATTTGCATAGTGTCTGTAATTCTATTTTGAGGGAGAAAGGAGTAATCTAAAGAAAAGTTTGCGAATGAAATGATATTGAAACTTTTTGAGAACACACAATGCAGATAATACTTTACGGACATGTTTTACCTGACATTTAAAAAAAATATAATAATCTGATTTAGTTAAACAGCAACAATAAAAGAATTCAGGCAATTTCCAAAGTTTGGGGTCGGTAAGATTTAAAAAAAATGTCTTATGCTCCCTAAGGCTGCGTTTATTTGATCAAAACATATTTAAACATAATATTGTGAAATATTATTACAATTTTAAATGTAATTCAATTTAGACTGTTTTCTATTTTAATATATTTTAATATGTATATATTTTAATATGCATTTATTCCTGTGATGGCAAAGCTGAATTTTCTGAAGCCATAACTGATGTGTCTTGTTTTTCCAGTATTTTTCACTGCGCGCTGCATTTGAAATGCCATATCAAATGAAAAGAATTTCAATATTTAAAAAAAATCATGAGACCTGGGTTCTGTTGCATTCTTTGGCATTTCATTTCATTTCACTTCATTTTATTTTTTATTTAAAAAACTAGCACAAAATATAAAATAACCACATAATCAGTGGTTAACAGCTAAGTGAACAACTAATTGAGATCTAATTGTAAAAGTCAAGTGGAGTGTTTTGCAGCCACGCAAGCTGCAATATTGTCGGTCTATTGTGTGGGGGAGCTGCATGTCGGGGTCTGTGAGTGACATGTCAGGGCGCCGCTTCTGCTCCCCTGCCTTGCCTGCTGTTGGGCTGGCTGGTGACATCTGCTCCACGCATGTCCCTCCTGTGATAGCTGGCCTCACTGCAGATGTTCCAGTCCTGGGGTCTCTGTCTGAGCCCACTGCTACAGTACCACAGCCTCTTTTGATGTGGGGATGAAACGGAATGAAACAAGTCGCAGTGGGGCTCTGTGTTCAGATGTATGTCTGTGCGGGAGTTAATGTGTGCAGAGAGCGTGTATGTGTGTACAGAAGTTTTACTGAAGCAAGTTTGGACTCTACCTGTCGGTCTCTGAATGTCTGAATGTCTACAGTTGCATATTTGTATATAATCCTCAGATGATGTCTGTGTGTTCTGTAATAAATATTATTCCAGCATCTTATTCTAGAATTGCTAATGTTTAAGGTTCTTCATAGAATAAAAGATGCCAATATAAAGAACCTTTATTTTTAAGAGTGTACTGACATTTGTAATTCAAGAGCCTGTGGTTTTCTTAACATCCACCCGGTATTTTTCCTATATTCATGGCAGTTAGATTGTGTAGGCTAGAGGCCTTTCAAGCAATCTGTGAGTCAGGCCCTGCTCATGGGCTTCCCAGCCACAGAGGCAATCAAATGCTTAATGGGAAAGTAAGTGGGAGGAAACTTGTGCGCTGAGATCAGGTGAAGCAAAGGATAGGTTTGCAGTTAAAGATCAAAGCCTGAAAAAACAAAGGCTGATATCAAACAGACACTCGAAACTCGGCAGCAAAAACCCACAGCTCCTCTGATAATACTTAGATCTATAAATGTTTGTTGCATATATTTATTTATTTTAAGATTATTCGCTGCAGTAATAAGTTGGCCCCTAACAAGCACTTTTGGGAGTTGGTTCTTTGACTGTTCTTTATTTTACAGCACCATTGCACAGCAAGCCTTGGGATTTAGGAGACTATTAGAGAGGAGGATTTTTTTTAATGGATTTGTAACTAATGAATGATATGCATGCGGTTTTCTTTCTTATGTTATTTTTATTGCTAAGTGAGAAGTGTGGAGAGGAGCTGGAGAATTAGGTACATTTTCAAGGATTTTATGGATTTAACCCTCCATTTGCCTCCCTTCATGAGTCCCCATATGGGCCAGTTTTACTCCTTATTCATAAAACAATTTATACATTCATTATTTAGACTGGTACAGGGCAGCAATTTATATGAATTATTCATATAAAATTATTCATTCAAAGCCTATTACTGGTTTTTTTAAGTATTTTTCCAAGCAGGATATTGTTTTGCCTATATAAAAACAATTTTAAACTACAATTTAAGCACAGTAGCTGACCGTGGGGAAAAGCAAGTGCATTTATAGAAATGTAAACAGAAAAAT